ACTGTACAAAGTTGAACCAAGTTGCCTTAATTTAATTTAGCTTGCGTATAAGAATGTAATGAATGCTAAACTTAAGGATGATTCAGATCAAAGAGCTCTTTAAGAAGAAAACATTTTTTATTCGAGTGTTCTCATTATGATACCTTCTGGCCGAAAGCCGATCTGTTTTAAGACGTTTTCATGAATCGGTTCAGGAAACTACACTCCATTCCGCAGTTCCCTGTCGCTCACATTAATCAGGCATTAATATGGTGTAAACCAAAACCATTAACAGCCGGCAGATGCTTTCCCGAAAATATGATTGTTTTCTGTTTTCTGTTTTTGCTTTCGCTGTCGCCTTTTGAAATTTAATTCTATTCTGTACGCAGGAATTTTGATTCGGTTTTTGCATTTGAATTTAAATATAAATTGACACGTGCCAGCAGCCTTCGCAAACAATCAGGACACGCTCGCCAGCAAAAAAAAAAGGTCCGAAAGTGGGGAAATCGAAGCTGCGGACGGGAGAAACAACGATGTGCACGTGTATGAGTGATTATTTTGAACTCGTCTTTGGGATGATGCCGGGTCCTTTGTGGCAAAGTGGTTCACTTTCATGTGTTCGGGCACAGCTGTGGGAATCTTACTTAGGGGATGGCAGGAAGTTGAGATTTGAAAGTGCTTTACATTTATTCAACTTCCGCTGTGATTCTTCAAGCTAAGTGTTCGACTGAAGAAATTCTGGGATTACATAATAAATAGCAAATCAATTAATTTAAGTGCATTTTGTTATAAAAACTGCGTTACAATGTTTATTAAAGTCCCAATAGGTATTGGTATTCTTAAAATGGCTTTAAGTCCGAGTATTAATGAAAAGTCTACCCAAATTAATAAATTTATTGCGACGCTACAAATTGTTGTTGCTTACTTTAAAAATAACCAATTTCGGTTTCAGATTTGTTTATATTAAATTAACCTACAAAAACACCACTTTAGCCAAGTTTATTGCCTTAAATTTTCAAACTACGAAATTTAAATAACATTACCCAATTATAAACCAATTAAACTTAGCTCGAATTGCCATAATTAATTGGTGTTTATTATTTTTCAATATTTCCTTTTAATTTAAGTCTTTGCTTAACAAATATACATTTTTGTTCAGCAATGTATAACACATGTTTTAATCAGGCTAACCAAATTAACAATGGCAACAATTAACATCTTCAAGAGGTGAACCGGACTTCCAAAATGCTGTCATTACCTGCATTCCTAAAGGTAAATTGACCAAATATTTTCTCTCATAAATCAAAATAATATAATCATGTTTTACTTACTGAACTTTTGGCTTAAATTGTCCCATTATTGAGAATATAATGAGAGCTGTTTGCCTGTATAAAATGGCTTCGACATTATAAAGATTAATTTCCATCTGCCACAACTTTGGTGAACTCAAGCTCATCGAAAGCGAAATGATTCGTTGACCAAATTAAAGCTCGTAATGACAGACAATTTATTTTTTTGTGGACTTCTGGCTGCAAATTGGACCAGTGCCACGCCCACAAACAAACTTGTCCTGGGCGGAGCTGTTGTGATGATGACAATCATTGCCGCCGAAAAAGTTGAAATCAATGTTGATGATCTCTGGGCCAGCTAAAAGTAGAAACTTTCTCATTGCTATCTATGGGATTTTGTGGCAGGAGGTGAACTTGCCGCAGAAGTGTCGCCATTGGGGACTTCGATGAAATGGAAAATATAAACAAAATCATTTGTCAAAACATTTCGAAACAGTTCTGCAAACTCTGGACCGAGGTCCGAAAATCGATGCTCGGAGCCTTCGATTCGCACAAAAGACGGCGTTTGAGAAAGGAAACGGAATGGGAAGCGGAAGGATAAGTGTGAGTTCGGTGGAGTTGCTACAGAACTGTTGGTTTCCTTCTTTGTTGCCTTTACACTGAGAATACAAAACCATTCAATAAATATTGATTCAGAAAAAATTAATCAGTTTAATAAGAGATTTCAATGACGTTTGTCCGCCCACAAAACTTTTTTTGGAGTGCCATCAATTTTTTGACTTTAAAACTAACATTCTGAATACGTTTGGTCTATAACTTATATTATTTTAACAGAGCACAATCTCCCAAAATAAGATGATTTTTTATACAAAAATTTCTTAAAATGAAAATGCGTTTACAAAAGTATTCAATCTTTTTAAACATCGTTGAGGTCCATTTTCTTTTAATAATACAAACATATAACACCTCCTAACTAGGTAATAAAACCGTAACAATATAGAAACTTCCCAATGCAGATTTTTTTTATTAAATTTTTTAAACAATTTTTTTTTTATCATTTACTATTTTAACTATTTTTATAACTAGTTTTATAAAAAATACTCATAAGTATAAGTTTTTTAAAAACCAAAGTTAGAAGTGTAATAGAGCCTTTTTCTGGGTGTACTTGAGGGGTCAATTTCTCCTTTTTGGTTTGGTCCGATTTGGTTTCGTGATTAGTGATAAGAGTGTATTCTTTTTTGTCCTGCGTTTCCTGTCCGTTTTCGGTTTCTCCTTTTGTGAGCTCTGGTTTTTCAGTTTCTTTGCTGGTCTTTGGCCGAACATCGTTTGTCAAGCGATTTATTTCAATTATTGATGTTGATGTTGCCTTTTTGTTGGTTATGTACCGAGTTAGATAAGGGAACTGTGATGTATCCGGGTAAGTAGCTAGTTTGTGGACATTTTTCACTTTAGCTCCTCTAATTTAAACGGATTTTCGACCACCGCCTTAAAGTAGGCAACCAGAGTGTTCCATTCGAGGCACCCACACAAAAGTGCAAATGGGCATCCAAATGAGAGCAAACAAACACCCGTGGGCGACCAGCATATTTCTCTTTTATAATTATAATTATAATCACACCAATAGCAGCGCATTCGCCAGGCACATAATTAGTGAAATGTAAAAATTAATCAATTTCGTTATAACCCAATTATTGAAATTGCTAGCAACGCAATTAAGCCGCGTTTGCCCAAAAACGGTCAACTGACCACATTCAACGACCACTTGGCCCATGTCGGTTGGCCGAACCGCCAATATAATAATAACAAAAGCAAACAGAACCGATATGGGATCCGATTTGGGTCCTGTACGGGTCGAGTGCTGCTGCATCCACATCCATATGTGTAATATTAATTTTTTTTTTGGTGCGCTGAGATCGAGCGCTGCTGCTGGTCCAGACAAATTTGCATTTTGTGTTACAGTAAATAATCCAGAATGGATAAAGTTTTTCATTTGCATTATGACCAACGGCGTCCGAATAACCGACTTTTCCATGCTAAAGATTTTATGGTTAAATGCTCGTTGGAAGAGCAGAAAATGGTGAGATATTTTTCTCGCTGCCGAGAAAAATTTCCTAAATTTGTCAGATTCTATGGCTCATTAGCAGATAAATATCTAAAATTGTGCTAAAAGAATTAAATGCCAAAAGAATAAATAGCCCGCATGATGTCTTTTTCGTCGACGTAGTCATTGTAAAATATATAAAACAGCTGTTTTTTTTTTGTTTTAGAAAAACAAGAAAAGGTTGAATAACAAAAACAATGAAATAACATTTGGCGATTGTGAGGGCCTAATAATTGTTATAATTGCTATTATAGAAAGCTTGATACATAATTTTATGAAAACATACATATGAGTCACTTATTGAAATTGAACAATAAATCAGCAATTGTACCTACATCTAAAAATAACTATATTTTAAAATAAATGTAATGAAAATATATTTAGTTTAAGGCAAAGTGCAATGTGCAATTAAATTCATTGACCCCAGAGTGGAAAAGCACCGCACTTAAATTAAATATGCAAATTTCCGATCCATATATGCAAAATAACAATGTGTCTATATAACTAAGTTAATGTATAATTTATGTATGTAAAAATATGTGTATTTGGTTTGTTGAATCCCGTTGCACAGAGTGGTTTATTTATATGTCTGGACATTGATGCCGACTCACCTATATATAGCATACATATATATATCACTAGGTATTTGTGGCCACATAGGAGCTTATGTGCTGCGGAGAAAGAATGCAAACACATATTAAAAATATTCTGGAAGAAATGCAGCCGGCAGCGAACATTTTACAGTTGACCAAATGTAAACACGAAGATGTCGGAAAAACGAAAAATCATTTTCTAATTATAAACAACGATGCTCAACAGAGCGCAATGCGGGAGGAAATTGAGCGAGAGTGGAAAAGTGGAGAAGGAAAAGCCGAGAGCAAATAGCAATGCATTGGTCATCCGTTTGATCTCAAGTGATTTTCAAATTCTATAGGCTGAAGAAAGTGAAAAAGTTGTTCAGGAAAATATAAATACTCTTTAAGAGGATATACCAGCGTAATCCATAAAAAAGTTGGTAATTTTTGGGAATTTTTTTTTGAACATAATAAAGTCGGATTTCATCTTTGTTTTAAGATTTTTTATTTCACAAAAATATTGAGAAACAAAGAAGCTATGGAGCGTCTTTTGGGGCACTGAGTGACTGACTGAAATTATTAAAGCTTAAGGTATTTCTTCTTCAATGACCTGCAATTTTTGAAAAAAATATCAAAAATGAACAAAATGTCGTCTGTTTGAAAGAAAATGCTATTTTTGAAAACTGTCATACCACTTGAATTTTAAAAATTAAGAAACACAAATTGTGCTTATTGTTTATTAATAAAGACAAAATTGCTCATGCAATAAAGAGTTGCTTAAATTTTCGATTCTTACATAGATAGGGCCCGTTTCTTTTTAAGTTTATTAATTTATTATTAATTAATTTTGTAAAATTAATAGTCTTAGCTTTGTAAAAATTAATTTAATTAACTCAAACATTATTGTTATAACATAATTATTAAAAAATACAGATCCCCTGCTTAAGTAAAGTGTATGCTCCGTGTATAAATAAATTGTGTGTAGGTTTTCCCCGTTCGAATGGCAACAGCTGCACAGCTTTTGGAAAATGGGGGAAAGCCAATAGTGAGTTTTCCGCTGGCGGTGATCAGTGAGCGAGAGTGCGTCGTCGAGCGAAGACACGGAACCCAGAACCCAGAGCCCAGCGGAAAAGTATACGGCAGAGGAAGAACCAACGGGAAAGCTGTAGCCAAGTGAAAGTGTGAGGAGATATATTTTTAGAAGGCCACGGCACACACACACACATATAGCCAAGCAGCGGCTAAGTATATAGGCCGTACATAGGCAGCCCGCGAGATACACACCCGGAGAGTCGGAACCCCCAGGATGACGGATGTGCCGGAGCCCGTGAGCAAGTGCGCCAACCTGTTGAAGAGCACTCGCAATGACACTGAAAAATTCGCGGCCCTGTTTATGGTCACCAAATTGGTGAAGGGCAAAGACTGCAATGCGTCGGGCAAGAAGCTGCTCTTCGAGGCCATTGGGTTTCCCTTTCTGAAGAAGCTGCTGGTCTCCAAGGATCTGCCCAGCGACTGCCCCCCTTTGGTATACAAAAGTGTGGCTCTGTCGATCCTCACCTGCTTCTGTCAGGAGGAGGAGTTGGCCACGCACAAGGACATTATCGATGCCATACCAACTCTGCTGGAGATCGTGGAACAGGCCGACGACGAGGACTACGAGGACAACCTGATTGTGGTCAGCGAGGCGTACAGTTGCCTCAAGAGCATCGCCAGCCATGAGCCGGGTCAGCAGGCACTCTTGGCCACCGGTGCCATACCCAAGATGTCCCAGATCTACTCCGCCCAGAGTTTCCAAACCGACGAGGCCCTGCACCTGATTGTTCTCCTCGTCAAGCAGTTTGGCGTGCTGTCGTGGCCCGAGGATCCCAGTGCCTTCCACGCCCTGATCCAGAGGATTGCGCTGGACATGGAAACCGATCACACGGACCGGAAGTACGAACTTTGCCGCATTCTGGCTGATATCCTTATCACCTGCCGTCGTGAGATCGTGATCAACTCGTTGGAGGGTCAAATCTGGCCGGAGAGCTTGTTCAAGGGCTGTGGGGATATCCTGAAGGCGAAAATTGGTCCCAAACAGAGGGATCCGGCCCTGCATCTGATAGCCACCACCCTGCAGGTGCTGGGAATCCAATGGGCCTTCATGGACGAGCAGAAGCAGTTCTTCCTGCAGCTTCTTCAACTGGGAGCCATCGAGGTGCGCATGCAGATGGACGAGAAGAAACTGGAGACGACCTTCAAGCAGGCGGAGCTACTCACCTGCTGCTTTACCATCCTGGAGCAGTGCATCGAGTACATGGCTGCGGATCAGCTGGATCTGGAACCCAAGGAAAAGCAGACCACATACACGGCTCTCAAGGGCGCCTTCAATCAGGTTCTAGCCGTTTTGACCAGGGTCAGCCAGGACAAGATCCGGGATAGCACCAATCCCAGGGACAAGAAGTTTGTGTTTGCCATCGTTAAGGTCCTGTCCGCTTGGCTGGCCCAGGAGACGACGGCCATGAGGCCGGCCATCTACAAACTGCTGCCCTTCATGCTCAAGGTTGCCAACGAGAGTTTCCAGGAGCTGAAGGCCTGGCGAGCAGGTCCCCGGGAGGGTGAGCCACCCGTCGATGTCCTGCGTATCATGCTGCCCGCTCTGTGTCACTTTGCCGTGGAGGAGGAGGCCAGGAGGGTGCTCTTCACGCACAAGCAGGATGAGGTACTGTTGGAGACCCTGGAGTTTTACTTCAGCATTGCGCATTGGAAGAGGCCACCCATTCCGCGAGCTGAGCGCTTGAAGCGCATGAATGAGCCCGATCCGGTGCCAAGTCCGGAACAGCAGGCGGAGATGAAGGTGGCCAGGAGTGCCATTGTGGCCCTCTCCAACATCCTGATGAACTTCACCGTTCTGGAGCCCAAGAAGGCCGAGGATGGAGCCACGTTTGCCAGTCTGCTGAAGTTCGTAGTAGAGAATCTGCCCGAGCTGAAGGATACCCCCGATAACCTGGTCATCCATGGCAATTTGGCCGTCCTGGGACTGCTACTGCTGAAGCAGCAGTCCAAGAAGGTCAAGCAGAACGACTTCTCCATCTGTCGTTACATCCAGGCCACCATCCGTTTCCTGTGGGATGCCTACAACATTGACGAGAGCAACGATCCCACTGCCCTGGTCGTGTCCATTGCCTACAAGGGCAACTGGTCGGATCTGTCCGAGCTGTGGTTCCTGGGAATGCAGACCATGTGCGCCGTACTGCCGCTGGTGCCGTGGCTCTCCGAATTCGCCCTGGAATCCGGCTGGGCAGAGGGCATTGTGAAGACCCTCAAGAAGGTTAAGATCGGCACTCTGCCGGCCAACGTGAAATCCGCGTACGAGGACTTCCTGTCCCAACTGGTGGACGTCAATGGCGATGTCCAGGAAGTGCTTAAAAAAGCCGATGCTCTGCGCGTCTGCCGCAATCACAGGATGATGGATCTGGGCAAGAAGCTGTTCGGCGACTAAACCAAACACCAAACGCTGGTTTTTTCTACAGGCATTTTTTGTGTGTGATTTGTGAACAAGCGAAAAATGGAAAATATTTTGTATGGATTTCATTCTATTTTATATGCTCTATTTTAATGATTAAATACCTAAATTTATTAAAAAATAAATAAAACCAATTTTTAAAACACATCCGGTCATAAAAATGGTTTTTGGTTTTGCCATTCATTCGGTTTTGTTTTCGTTTATTCAGGCCAACTCAACGGAATTAGTTAAAACTTTTGCTTGTTTTCACTTTTGTTTGTACGTTTTATTTTCGAACAAGCGCACTATATACAGTGGAAACACGTCACATTCGTATATTTGGCAGACCAACAAATAAAATACTTGCGTGAAACAACGATGACGAGTGCAAAGGCTGACCGAAAATAATACTAATAATAAGTGCAATTTAATTAAAAACATGCAGCAAAACTTTTTCTACAAAACATGGCATGGACGGAAACAAAGAATTAATAATGTGCTGACGTGGAGTGACAACTTTTTTGGTTCGCAATTGTAGAGAGGGAAATGCATGCTACATTTTTGCGGATAACTTTTTCCGCGTGGTTTTTGTTCCATGGAACGAAATATGCGGATAAACCAACATAATTCATAAAATTAAACAATGTTAAAGAACTTTGATTTAGTATATTAAATTTTTTTGGAGCAGTACAAGTTTTAAAATGGTGGTTATCTGCGCTCATTTTACTTAGCTTATTATAAGATATTGAGCGAAATAAATATTTGTAAAAACTTTATTCAAAAAGAAACACTTTTTCGTTGCTATTAGCATTTATTTTAATATAGCACAAATAGCTTTCAGATTTCATATAAAAAAATGTAAATTACATTACGTGATATACAATTATTTCATATTTATTTTGTTTATAGTATATATTTTGGACATCTTCTTAATGACTTCAAACGCTTTACTTCATTAGATATTTTGTTTATTTTATTTCGGGCTGGGAATGGTTTTAACGCTGCTAATAGCCTAGGCGCATATTTATGGAAACGGTTGTCGTTAAAGAGCTTATGGGTTAGCTTCCAGATTTGGCCCGACTATAGCCGGTACATATCCGTATCTGAGCGGATTTGCTCCGCTGAGTTGCCAAATTGCTTGTTAGCAATGAATGAAAATAGAGCAGTAACAGGAGATGGTAAGGCAGCAGCTGCTAACTGAGGCCAAAGCCGGGCATAAATCTCCAATAAATCTTAAATACATATTGCGCTGCCTGTTCGGGCCCTACTTCTGGCCCAAGGAATACATATTATACGAAAAGTATCGCTCAATCGTGCTATCTTGCCACTATGAGAGCCCTCCAACCTCCAACCTCCACCCGCCACCCTCCGCCCTCCACTCAACACCTGCCAGCCATTTCTCTTACATATCTGAGAGTGGGGGCGGATGGGGTTTTATTACGATATAATATTTTATTGTGTACCTTTAGATGTTTGGATATTTGGCTGCTCGCAACATTTGAGTTTCAACCCTTTTCGGGCCATACTTTTTCTGGTCCAAAGAATGTGTGAATTTGCCTGAGCCGTTTGTTGTGTTTTGTCACCGGAATTGCTTAGCTGTGCCGATTCCAGGGGAATTGGAGGGAATGAGCTGGTGACCCGGCAGTGGCTTTGGATTTTCGGCTATTTGTGCATTTGACAAAGGTAATAAAAAGAGCCCTTTGGCTTTTGAAGCGTCGTCGTCGCCTGCTTGTTGATTTTGTTGGTCTGCTTGTTCAGCTCAAAGCCATAAAATATATATACAAATATATAGGGAAAAATGTATTTTTATTTTATTTTGTTGCTGTTTGTTTACCTTTTTTTTTTGGGCGAGCAAACATGCGCTGGCATTTTCGGTTTCTGTTTGTTTTTGTGGGCTTAAATGTGTTTGCTTCTAATTAAAATTAAAAGGTTTTTGTGGCTGACAACTGCGAGAAAAAAATTTAAAATGTCCAGCACATCTATCTATAACTTAAAGCCCTGGCTTACGGTGCAATTATGGTGGCATGCAATTGGATCTACCCTCAATGATCCATTAATTTAGACAGTCAACTCTTCAATCAGCCCAGAGAGAAAGGAGGAAAGTAGGGAAAAAAATTAGAGCTCATGTGGCACTACTGGATTCAAGTGGTTGTTGCAGCAACAAGTTGAAGCCACCTTGATTGCAATTAGTAGCATTCTCCGACTTTGTTGCCACCTTAATGAAATGAAAACAAAGTTGAAAAAATGGTAATGAAAACGACGAGGCAAAGAGAAATTCAACCCAAGTTCGCACTTCATGGCAACGCTTTGAGGAGGACTCGTCGACAAGGGTCTCCATCCACAAAGTCAACTTCTTAAGTTGTAAGCTTTATTCTGCTTTGTGGGAATGGGTTAAATACAAACAGTAGCTGTAAGGGATCATCTGTAGGATTTAATAATTAATTTGCGCTATTGAAAACAGAAAAACAGATCATTTTTAAGCGCAAACTTTATTTTGATAATTAGCTTTAGCTTATTTATTTTATTTATCACCCGAGGTCTCTTGGCTAAGTACACCAAAGCATCTGAGAATGATTATTTAAGGTGTTTGGGCGGAAGAACCTCGAACCATTTAACCTCCTTGCTTAACATCCTATAAGTATAAACAGTATCCGCGAGTTCATGCGATTTTGATTGCCAGATTCAATTGCCACTTGTTGGTGCAAGTATTAGCCCCAGCCAAAGCAATTGCTTGAAGTGAAAAGGGTGCGGATGATGCACGCACAAATGCGCACCCCAAACAAAGTCTGACTCTGATTCCACCCCAAGCAATAATAATGTGAAATAAAGTAAATGCTGCTGCTCAGCAAATTTCCAATTGAACGTAATGGTCGCTGAGGGGTGCGATGGGCATAAATAAATGCTTTTAACACTTCTGTCTTACCAGCGGGGAATTGGTCCGCCGCTTGGTGTCTTGAAGATTTTGGAGTCCCACAACAAATTAAAATTAATGCAGAGTCCGTGGACATCCAGGAGCTGAGGTAGCAGTAGCAGTAGCAGTAGCAGTAGCAGTAGCAGTAGCAGATGTTGCAGCCAAAACTGGCCAAGTCATAAATTATTCAGGACACTTGTCAGCTCCAACTGGCAAGTATCAGCCAGAACTCAGTTCTGTCGGACGTAACATATGCCGCTGACGGGGACTTCAAACTTAATCTCGAACAGATACCGGATGGGTTGAATTCCAATTTAAATTTGATTAAATTTAAGCCTTGACCTTGTCAAAAGCGAATGGAATTCCGGAAATTTTATAATCCCCATAAATTTCGTACGCCTCATTGAACCTGGATTATCGCATTCAGTCAGCAGCAGCTTCGCTTCATATTTTCCTGTGGGTGTTTTTTGAGGGGGTTTCTTTTATTATTTCGGGTGTTGGTAATTAAATTTGTCATCACGCTCAGCTGGCAATTGGTCGTGGGTCAACGGTCATAAAAACTGACGCCCAAAAGTAGGCAAGTCATTAAAGAGCCAACGAAAGCGAATTTCACCAACAAAGAGTTCTCTCTCTCTTACTTTCTCTTTAATTTATATTTCGTGGGCAGAGCTTTGGTCCCAAAGCTTTTTTTAGCATATTCTTGCAAAGCTCTCTGTTTGATTCTGTTTCTGTTATTTTTTTTATTTTTCCTCCGTTGCTGTTAATGGTGCGTTAAATTTAAATGGGCATAACAATTAACGATAATTGCTTTTGAAGTTATTGTCTATAATGTTATTTAGAGTTCTGCGGAAGAACTTGAAATATTTGCATAGTTATGATTGTCCATTATGTTTACAATTATAGCAGCCATTACCCTTTACATCTCAATATCTTAATCGAGTTTCATGAGAGGCCCTCGCTTTATGGCAAGGAGGTCAACCGATAAGTGCACTTGTTGCCTTTTAATAAATAATTTTTATTGCAGTTTGGCCGAGTTTGAGGTAGAACAAACCACTAATCCCCTGCAAAACAAGGATTAAATTAGCTTGCTATCGAGGCTCAAAACAAACCGAAACAATTGCAGTTTTCGTGGGTTTGTGGTCCTTTGGCAACATTTATGAAACATTTTCCCCCTCTGCCAAATGCCGAATTCATTTCGATTCAATTGCCCGCCCACGCTTCGTATACGTAACGCAATAAATTATCAAGGTACAGAAAACATCCGCACGTGGAAAGGCTCAAAATCGACGGAGCCAGGGCTCTTCCACCCTCCAGAAGGCAGCGTCAAAGGTTAGTTTATGCCCCTACCCAATTCAAAACACAATAAATACTGCAAGTGGGCGTCGTTTCTGTTTGTTTGCCAGCTCTGTTCCCTTCGATATCAACAAGAAATTCAAATAAATGCATTTTAATGCCAGCAGCCTTAGCCGAGTGTGGACGCTTTAAAAGCTTTCAAATAGAATAATTTATTTCCCTCTCTGGAGGCGATTCTGTTGCGTGGTCGGTGGGTGTGGAAATGGGCTGGAAATGGGTGGGTGTGCTACCATCGATATCGCCATACATTGATGTGTTAATTGCCGCAATTCCAAGGAGGCCAAGGAAACAGGCAATCAGATAGACCAGGGTTGCCTACATCTCACCATATATCTACATATTAATAATCTGATATGATTGTTTGCAAAAAATTTATTAAATAAATGCACTGAACACCTGCCTTGCAGTCAAAAAATGGCTAAATCCTTATGTTTTCGAAGCTCTCTTGATGTGACCTGACAACCCTAAGGGCAATTTCCATTGCCTTGCATGCACCATCACCCCCAATAATTCTTACACATTTTGTGTAAAAGTATTTTCCTTTTACATTTTTTTTTTTGCTTCTCTCGCTTTCCTGAAACAATGCATTTTATCTTGGCTCTTACACATTTTATTTTTACTCTTTTCCATTCAGCTTTGACATAAGAACACACACACACACAGTTTAACGTGGAAACGCACATGGAAGCAGAAGCTGAGACGCTTACATTATTGGGGTGAACCAACTGGGCATACCTTTAATTATGTTATTATTGTGTGTAACTAAAGTTATTCTTTAAAGCTATACAAAAAATTAAATATTTAAAATATTAATTTGCATATACTAAATTTGCTTAAATTTGCTTATTCGTTTTATTCGCATAAAATCTTAGCTAAATAAATAATAATATTAAATAAATAATGAAAATAAGACTGCTGATTTCTATGTGTAAAATTCATATAACAAATTTAAGACCACAATTTTGTTTTGAATCGGCGATAAAGCCGTGTGTGGGTTAATTTATAAGGAACATCTCCAAGTACTTTACAAGTTTTAGCAGATAAAAGTGGCGCATTATACCATGAGCCACATAAGGATTAAAGTTCTTATTTTTTTCAAAAATATGGTACAAGTGTGAAAACATTTAAAGCTTAACTACAAAGTTGTTAAAACAAAAAAAACCTTTTAGCTTCCAAATTCTTTAAGTAATATTAATATTAGCTTAGCTATTTTTTTTTTGTTAATTTCGCCTACATTTCCTTTTCTGTGCAACCCCAGAAGACAACTTATAGGCAGTCCGCCTGCCGCCCTGGTATTTCCCGCCACCTTGGATTCCGCACAGAATGCAAGCCAGTATGCATGTCTACACTAGATACGATACTACAACTAAATACTTAATTTTGCTCTTTGCCGTTGCCTTTGATTCTTTTAATTTTCCACAGCATAAGGGACATTGGATGGGGCTACTAATACAGATGCCTACGTTGTCTGGCAATACTTACGGCCTACGCACGCACACAACCACGCTGTGGGGGGCGGAATATGGGGGCGGGGTGTCTGGCTGCCTGGAAGACAGCTGTTTGGAGCAATGGGTTCGATGCGACTGCAGAATAAGTCGGTCTTTCAACGCCAGCGGACGTTGTGTTTGCCTTATTGCCATCCCCTTGGCGCGTGGCGCGATCACTGGCGATGCGGAAGTGAAATTGTTTTCTGATTGAAATGTAAATAAGCAAAGGCTGCCAAAACAAATATCGTGTTTATCATTGAAAAAATGTGAAAGTGCTGACCGCTGATTGACGCAGGCATCGATGAATGCAGTGCACTGCAGCCGTGACGTCTCTTTTAATTATTCTGTCGAAAATGTGAATTTTCTAATTTCACTGAATTATTATTTTGAAATAAAACTCTCGAAAAAATATTTTAATGTGCTTTCACCGCGCCTTCCATTTTAACAAACATTCGGTTTTAAATTACCGACAAAATATAACATTTCAAAAGTAAATTTAAAGAAGGAGGCAAGCCATCTTGAACTGTTGACAAGCTGCCATTAAATGCACACTGGGTTAAATAGGCACAAAAATACATAAACAAATTAAAAATTTAAAGTATCTTAAGGCAAAGAAAATCAATCTATTTTTTTTTTAATAATTTACCAATCTAGCACAATAAAAATGAAATAATTTTATAAAATAACTTAAAATGTAGTATTGTCTAGCCTTGAGGCAGCAGATCGCCGATCCCTCCTATTTAAGAATTAAAGCTATAGCGTTTTGTGTATCATTCATTGACTGGTTCGATTGTTTAGTCAGATGTTTTAAATAAATTACACATGCTACTGGGTAAACAAACATTCGGCATTGAAGCAACTCAAGCAATTAGACATTTGGACAATCGAAACTCGTATTCGAATTTCTCAAACAAACAGGTCTATAAAAGAGCACCAGTTTTTCTCTTGCCCACCCACCCTTCTATAATAGAATGCAGACGAATGTTTTCAAAATGCTTAAATTCTTGTTTGACACATTTTGACATAATGTTTTAAAAGCGAGACAGTTTCAGTGTGTAATAAATGATTTATTGAGTGGGCCTCGCTTCGAAATTCGGAAATATTTATTTCGCATAATAGGACTTCGTCGTCTTAGCGACTGTGGGCTTTACAAATGGTATGCCTCTTGGGGCCAGGGCCTGTGCAACGTGTAGGTGCTTTATTCGTATTTCTCCGAATTTCGTTCGATTTCCATTTGCCCAATGCTAATGTACAAATCGCAGAATGCCCCCGAAGGGCAGCCAGGTAATATTTATCTCCACCCGCCCCCAATGAGCTCACATTTAATACGTGGTCGGAGGTAAACACGCACACGAATCGTATCTGCCGACATGTCTAATAGGAAATTGGCCAGAAGCGGCTAACTATTTGAGTTTCCCTCTGTTCCTCAGATCTGGTGGTGTAGCGTAACACTAGAGCGCCCGGACTTGTATAAAATAAACAGGCGAAGGTACAATAAATTGAGGCAAACATATTTGTGTGTGTGCGCGAACAACAAAAGTACAAGAAAATACAAATATCGAACACAATGGAAACAATAATGTGCGAAACGATTGGAAATGCGCCACAGTCAGTCGCTGACGCTGTCTCCACCGACGTTGCCCTCTCAGTCCCAGTCTATATCTCTATATCACTGGCCCAGTCCGGTCAGCGTCCGATTCTCAGTCAGACGCAACCGGCTAGTCGGAGGGCCAACAACAAGTCGCAGGCGCGAACAGGAAATCGATTGGAATTATCGAAATAATCGTTTAAAATAATTAAATCGAATCTGAGTCATTTTTTGTAAGCATAGGCCGATTCATTATAATAATCGAAATTATCGTACAAAACGTAAAATTGTATCTGTGAAATGTCGTCACATTGTTTAATAGTGTTTTGTGTTTTCTTTTCAGAATAAAAATAAATTGATTCCAAATACCCTCATGCGCATTGATGAAATAATGCAATCTAATCAATGTTTATTTTCTGTCTTTTCTCATCAACATTTAAAACAGTTCATTAGGATTAACTTAGCTAGCGAAATGATTGAAATAAATGTATCGATAACCCTCTTTCTTTAATTATTCTGTTCGAATAGTAACAAGAGTGCGGTAAAAAGTGTTAGGCTTACGAAAATACCTTCGTTTGTTATCCAAACAGGTGACAAGTGTTAAAGTGCAATGTGCTAATTATGTCACACGGGGCGTATGCGTGATGTTGAAAGCCAATAGCAAGTAAAAGCCAAAGTAAAAGGCGCAAACGGCAAACAGAAATTCAAAAAGAAGAAAGTGTAAAAGGAAAAGGTCTAAACGGCCATTCAATACTTGTTGAATTATTAGCTGTGCTTGAGTGTTTGAGTGCGGTTGTGGAAATAAAACAAATGTCAACTGCCAATGCCCCGAGAGTGTAAAGGGAAATATGTGAAAAATACAAGACGAGTGCCAGGGGAATCCATGGAAAACGAAAATGAAGTGTCAGCGATTTGGGATGAAATTATCAATTGGCCAAGCTGCTGCTGAAATGTGATTTATCCACCTGCCTGCGGGTGAGGTGTACTGCGAGCGGTGTGTTAAGTGTGTGCGTGTAGACAACAAAGGGAAATAATGTCATGCATTGGCTCGACGGCATTTCTTTGGATGACAATTTAATTAGCGGACGCGCCAGCGGCAGCAACGGCGACAACAGCGACGGCAATCAGCGGAAATCAACGCAGTCGAGCTCATCGCCCACCAAAGCAAGTAGGTTGACCTATACCACAGTATGTACACTGTACACCATATCCACGAGCTTTAATTTGTTGGCGTGAGCCACCCGAGCGTGTTTATTTGGCTTAGAGCGAGAGGAGAACGCAAACTATCCATGTAATCTTTATCCCCCAGGAGTTTCAGTTAGAAATTGGTTAAGCTGAAGTTTTTAAACGCTAGTTGTGAGTGCTAGACGCTACTTTAAAATGAAAATGTCCTTTCGGAGACCCGATTAAAAATGAAAAAACGGAAAGACTAACATATAAAATTTGTGTTTGTTAATGAAAAAAAGAGCACATTTTTTTTCTGGATAAAATCAATTTGTTTTTTTCAGTAACTACAAAAACTATTATATAATAAAGCAGAATATTGTTGGGGATGTTAACATAAAAATGAGTTTTAGCCTAATTAATTAATTTAAGTGTTTTTACGCCAAAAAAATATAAAATTTTTGTTTTATTTTTATAATATACATTGTTGCAATTTATGTATTTACAAAAGCTGGTAATTTTTAATTGAACATACTTTTTTTTTTGTTTAAGCGTAATAAATTGAAACAATTAAGCTGGTAAAAGCAAAACTGTATTATTTTTGTAGTACGTTTGTTTAATTGTATATTGTATATTTTAGTCCTAATTTAAAGACTTTGGTCTTGTTAATGCAATATCAGAAATTTTATATGTTTTTTAAAGATTAGAAGCTATTTAAAAAAAATGTCTTAAAAAAAAAATATAATTAAACAAAAATGGAAGAATTCACAAACTGAATTTGTCATTGTTTTTCATTCAATTATTTTTTCTTTTGTGCCAGACAAAAACAATTTGTTTTGTAGATATTTGACAAAAAAAAATGCAGCGAGAAAAAAGCGGCAAGAAAAATGCATTTACGGTTTGAACGAAAAAAGCACTATCTGAAAAATAAATTCCAATTAGGCCATCAAAAACACTTGAAAACGATTTTACCCAATTACCTTTACTCAGCCTCCTTCCATCAGCGGGATTCCAGCAAAATTTGTCTTTCCCAGAGGCGAAATTGAATTCAAACGGCGCGGCGGGGAAAATGTATTGTTTTCAATTTTAATTGGGCAGCAAATTATAGCCCCCCGCCCATGTGTTTATCCGTGGATTGCTCATAATTCAGTTTCAATTATTAAAAACATATTCATCATTTAGTCCGAGCAATTAGCAACGATTGAAAGGCAAATAGAAAAATCATTTGTACATCATTCTCGTTTCGATTTTATGCGGATGTGGCTCATTGAACTTGTTTGTGGTTGTTTTTAAAAATATATTTTATGAATCGATTCGTGTATTACGTTAACGATTCCCAAGCAAACTTGTGGGAGCAATTAAATTGGTCTCGCTTCCGTTACCTTGATCGTTCATCGATCATCGGCCAGGAATGGCCCGTATTGATCCGAATTTTCCGCTCAGTATTTACCCCATTTTCCGAAAGCCTTTAATTAGCACAGCCGGATCGTGTGGATCCAATCCGAATTGCTTGACGCATTGATTTTATTTTGGAAATAATTCGTAGCAACAACGAATAGCAAAGTGTTGGTCGCTGTAAATCTCATCAATGTCGAAAAATTGCCGGCATATGGTAATTTAATTTGTAATTTATTGTTTACAAATTCCTTTTGGTTTCATTTTGTATCGTGGCAATTCTGTGCGACGTCCAAATATTACAACTTGTGGCATGCTGCTTAAAATAGCCTCGACTCTCTCACCTTTTTGGAACGACTGCGGATGACCCAGTAAAACTACTGAGCAGCATATTTGTCAGAAAAAAATTTCAAGAATCTAAATTAGTTGTTGTGCTTCAGACATTGTCAATAAAAATAAATTGCTATGGGGAAATTATCACATAGAATTACCTTAACAAGAATATTTGAGAATTACATTTCTTAAAATTTATTTCAACAAATTTATATCATAGCCTTTAAGTAGTCAACATATATTGTTATAGGGAATGAGGAGGGTTGATGCACTTGACTTAAGGCACATTTATAAATTAAAGCTTCATAGTTATTATGATGGCATATAAAATGTTTATGTGTTTTCGCAAAATTACTCTATTATTTATATACATTAACCGTAAATGTAATGATCCTAAAGCTTAGTACTTTAAAAATTAAAGATTTAATTCAAATTTTCTGTCGATCTGTAAAATAAACTTTTTAGTTTTGTAACATTTTTATAGAAATAAAAGCCATTGTCCCATAGGTTCTCGTGCGTTTAACTCATATTTGTCAAATAAAGTCTTTGATTTTTTAATCATTTCCATTAGAAGTTAATCACTCCAACAGGTCATAAAATATGTTTATTTATTGATTTCATAAAAGCCGCTTTGGTCTCCAGAATATACCAATCAAATTAAAGACACAATGGGTCATTAAAATAAATCCCTGTCTCCCCTTTCCTTCCGCACTTCGTTCATCGAATTAGAAAAATCATATGTTGGCCATTATGAACTTTAACTGCTGCGGCCGCACATCAAAAGTTGTGCCCAACGAGTGCACCATTATGTGTATTTATGAAATCGTTCGCAGTCGGTTGAAAGATCCTCTCGTTCATCTGGCATAAAAAGTGACCCACACACATGTGTACATTTGTATCACCCGGAGGCACACTGCCCCATAATAGAACCATAAACTGCAACAGGCGGCAGCAAAAATAGACGGAAACTTGTTCATTTTGCTTGTGCATTTTGTTTACTCGCCGCCTCCTGTCTCACGCACCATTTAGTTTTTCTCTCTGTATCTCTCTGTATTCTCTTACTTTTTTCTATTCTTTTTGGATTCGTCTAGCCGGCACAGTGCTGATCTCAAATAAGCTGACGAAAATGATTTGTAAAATGTTTTAATAGACATACTAATTTTTAAATTGTTTTTTTTTTTGTTCTGCAGAAATTAAATATAAGTAGATGGAAGGGTTCTTAATAAAATAAAAATGTATGTATGCCATATTTACAGAACAGTTACCTTTCATTAAAAAAACAATATTATTTTCGCAACAAAAAACCAACTATTCAAAAAATATTATTTGAAAAGATTTTTTCAGTAAAGTTGTTTATTAAAAAAATATTTAGGGTATAGGTAAATTTAATCAGAACAAGAATTTAAAAAAAAAATGCATACCCATACCACTTGTAATATATTTTTTTTATAATTAATTAGTCCCTTATGTCCGTCGGTATATCCTTTTGTCTGTCCTTGTGAAAATAAATATCTTTAAATAAAATGTTAAATGTAACACTTGTTTAAATAAGGTTTGAAGTACTTATCAAATTAAAAAAGTTTTTTTTAAAAATCGATCCCTAAAATCCTAAAATTGATCAAAAAACATAACAGAATGATTTTTTGCTATGTAGTTATAATCCAAACAATGTAAACGAAGAATAATTGGTATATTTAAAAAAAAATGTTATTGTTGGTTTTATGATTATTCGAAATCAGCATTTAGAATTCCACAAGTTTCCACCGTTTCCATTCTTTGAAATCAAATGAAAAGAAAACCTATCCGATATTATTGCCAGAGAACAGATTTATGGGACCCACTGTCTGTAGACGATTTAGCGGCTCACGCACATTCCGGCAGTTTATTGGCATGCCTTATGCTAGCCCGCTCGAATGCACCGCCCCTCCATTCCCGTTATCCGCTTTCTGCCCCCTTACTCACATACGCACAAACATATCCATGGATGAAACAACAAATAAACTGTGGGTACGCAAAATATTTAACACGAAAACGCAGAATACACAAAATTCAATGCTGAAGCCAAGTGGTTGCAGTTCCCAGTCGCGTGCCTCGCAGGCCACAACGTATCTGAATCCGTCTGAAGAAGTATCTTTTATCGTTCAGTGCGTATCTCTTTTTCACCGCCGACAGTTCGTGGGTGTCGTGGGCAATTGCCACCCCTCCAGACATATATATGTGCTCAAAAGTGCAGCTATAAAATCACCTGGTGATCATCTCAAAACGCGAGATTGTGCTCAAGTTTTCGGAATGAATTACCATAAATTGAATTGATATACTTATGTGCGGCTGGTTAATTGTGAATTGTCGGCCGTCATAAATTTCGCCTCAAAATAGCAATTCATAAAAGTTAACACAAATATTTATGAGTTCTTATTACGATACTGAGTAAGTTCATAAATGAGATACACGCCCTCCCTCTCTCTTTTGTTTATCCAAAATGTATATTTTGGCGAAAGATATTAAATTTGCGGAATTCGCAGATTTAATCATAACTTGCCCGTTTATCTTCATTCAATTGGCATATTTTGAAGGGGATAAAAACGTGTATGCACAATCTTCTGGGAATCTTTCACCTTGATAAATTTACGACCCCTGCCATAAATTAGCTGAAGGGAATGTCTGTATATATATTTCATTATATAGGGTTAGGGTCCTGTGTGCCAGTTATGTAACGGACAAAGAAAATCCTTTCAATGCTACCCGAGAGAAAGGAAAAAATCCCCAAGAGGGTGGGCATATGGGCATATATGGTGGTTGGATGCGGGGAGGCCGTCAAGGAGCGAGGCTGAATTGTAACACATGTAAATATTAATGAAGGATGACAATGTGTACTTGACAACTTAATCGATAAATCAATTGCTATGCCAGATAATGCTTTACCCCTTTTGAATAAAAAAATGTGTGTTCCGCTACAGTTTTTTGTCTGGCCCTTTGTGGTTGTTTGACAAGGAGGTTGAGCACGGGTGGCGTTCGGTGCGTGTGTAGCATACATCCTGGAGCTGGTACATTGTGTAAGCGACAACCCACAAACCGTCCAGACAGCCTCGCCGCAAAAGCCATAAAAAACGGAATGTCATTGAACATCTAGATATTAAAACAGAAATCAGTATTCCACACGGCAAGCCGCCGAGCCCAAGATTTTTAAGGTGTCCCAAAACGTATTCCAAATGTCAAAAGCATTTTAAAATTGTATTTACACAATGAAAAGAAACCACAATTGATTTTCTAAAAAATAACATCTGAATGGTAAAGGAAAATGTTAACACATTTCAATTCAATAAAATTAAAGGTAGTGTTAGATAAAAGTATTTTTAAAACTATATTAGTGATTACAATTTTATAATATAAAAACTCTAAAACGTTTGGGTTGAAACGTATGACTTGCCATATTTGTTTCGAAAATGTTGTATAAATTATATTATTTTGTGTTAACATTATACATATAGGGGTGGTTGCAAGTATTAACATAGTTCATAAGCATCTATTCATTTCATTTGTCCAAATACTTTTGACCACCCCTGTATGTATGTTTGTAACTTTTAAAAGAATAAATATATACTTTACAGTTACATTTATTAAATAGGTATGTAATACAGATCAATAATTCAAAAGTTTTAAGCTTGTATACTTAATGACAAAAGAAAAATAACATATAATAAAACTCGATATATCTAATTAAAATGGTTGAATTTATAATAGTTTTTTCTGGAATCCTTAACTATATTTTTTCCAGACCGGGTTTTTGTAGTATGTAGTTTTTCAATGCGCTTACATACTCTGCTCTTGTCCAAATAAACACGCTCTCAGCTCTTGTAAACAAAACGATCGAATCAAAAAGAAAACAAAACCAAAATAAAAATTCAAAGCCAAACAATTTTAAAGAAAACACACGCACACAGAAACAAAATCAAATAAGCAAAAAAATAATTTTCCATATTATTATTATGATTTTGTCTCTATTGTCTCCCCTATTTCTTATTCTGTTGCCCCTCTTTATTTCTGTATTGTTTTGGTTTTGTGTACATTTTTTTGTTTTACTTTATGTGTATTTTGTTTTTTGTTTGTTGGTTTTCTTTCACATGCGGGAATACTAATGCACGACTATGCTCCGAGAACGAAGACGTCATGCACACTTTAAGCTAAACAGCAGGTAAACTTAACTGAACAAATTTCTTTACTAGCACTAAGCTTTAGAATTAAGTATACGCCCTGAAGTCCCAAGACGTGTCCCTCGAAAGCGATCGGATATAAGAGTAAAAGCTTAACAAGAAAGCTTTTACTATGGGGAAGTCTAGGAACCGTGTTCCAATTCTCTTATATTTCACAATTCAAAAGAGCTTATCTGATCAGCAAAAGCTTTTTTGTTTACGTATGAATTTGACTATACAAAATTAAAAAAATATTTTATCAACAAAATTATAAAAATGAATGTAAAGTAGATTGTTCTTATTCTAAGCAAAATGTTTTACCTTTGCTCTATAAACTCTCTAAATGTAACTATAATTATTTATTACAATTAACTCTTAATCTCCTTAATCTAATATATGCCTACAATTAATGTCCATATGAATTTCAGCAAGCCATAAATTCTATTCACATTCCAAAAGGATTGGGTACTTTTATGAAGTACCCAAACTATTGCTTAAGCAAACAACTTGCTGATTTTGAAAGTCCAAGATTAAACTGTCCACGTCAAATTTATGTCAAAATAAACAATAGATACAGCGGCGGTAAATGACAGCGACGATTAGCTTTGAAACAAATTGGCACGAGTTAGAAAGCGGTGCGGGCTCCTTAAATTATATTTATGATTCTGCCGCGCTTAGTTAACCTTTGCTAATTTTCTAATTGGCTGATAAATAAGCGGATTCACACAATCTTTTTCATATACGAAATTATTATTTATTGGATGTGGGGGCCAGCATCTGAACTTTATATAATGAATAAAGACTAGAGAGGAACTAGCCGATTGAGTGGGACTTATTAATAAACTTTTGTGCGTAGTGGAACACATGTATATATATCCAAGATTTAATGGGATCTGTCAATGTGTAGGTGCCAGCTGTAGTTTTATTTAGGCTGCCAATGTCGCGACACATTTCACTAGAAGAGAGCACCCTGGCCATACAATTAATTCCATTTGGATCTCAATAAAAGAGCTGTTAATTTAATTGAAAATGCGGTTATTGTTAATTTACTCTATCATCTGCTGCTTACCAAAGAAATAAATTAATATCTTCTACATCCAGCTACAATGCCAACACGCAAAATCCAAACCAAATGCAGCATGGAATGCGATTAAAGGCTTGATTAATTTTCATTTATTTCCTATGTTATTAATACCGATGCTAGACCCCATAAAAAATGACCCAAACGGAAATTTCATTCAACACATAAATCTACGAGTAAATATAGTGAACGTGCTTGGGAGAAAAAATTTAAAAACAATATTGACATAATTAGATGGGTAATTGATTGTGAAAGCGTATTATTTTATTTTACCTACCCTGAAGGTGCGAAAAAATCTCAAATATTTGCATAGCTATTATGAGTTTTTTGCCAATTAATTGCAATTTCAATAATTTATAAAAAAGATTCAAGAAAAAAAGAATAAGCCAACAAAGCGTCCCGCTTTAGAATGAAGTTTGCAGATTCTTTAAAAAATGTTGCAATATTTTGTCTAGTAATAAATTATATTTTAATAATAACATTTTTTTTGTTTCTACTTCTTTATTGATACATTTAATGTCGGGTCAAAATATATTATTTGTCACCAGCCTAAAACAAAACTACAAGCAATTGTAATGTATGTATTTGTTAAAGAAAAAAACTCTCTATTAACCTTTGGCTTTAGAATACTAAATATAAATATAAATCGTTTGCGTATTTATTAAAATAAATATGTACATAACTAAAGACTAACTTAAGGAACATCGCGTATGAGTTATTTATTGTTGAGGAACAACAATTATTAAAAAAATGCATTTTTAGCAAATCTATAGCCAAATAAATATATGTTATTGTGACTCATTTTTTTCCGCGATACCCTTTTATTTATATGTTGCTGCTAACTATCTTAACGTTTCTAACTATCCTTGTCCCATTATCTTTTAATCAGTGAAATTCAATGCATTACTTTAAACAATGAACAATTTTTACTATTGTTTTTTTTATTTAAATTGTTTAAGAGCATTTAAAGGTCGTTGTACTTTTCATTTGTTGCCATTTTAGCTTTTTGCGCTCTTTATTCGTATGGCTCACGGGGCTTTTGTTAATCTTATAAACGAATTCTCGACACAGCATGCGTACATTTCATTGAGAACGATGATTTGTTGTTCCTTCGATTTACTCCCTCCTAGTTGCTTTATGAAACTTTTTAGCTGTGTTCGCTTTTCATTTTCATTTTTAATTTTTCTTTTAATTTGTATAAAAATTGATGCAGACAAAGCTTGTTGCTCTTGGCGGCAGCGTTCAATGCCAGTCGTCGGCGTTTGTTGTTCTAGTCGCTTTATTTTTTGGCCAAAACTGATCTCGCCTAACTGTCAGTTTTCGGTTTATAGTCGACTCGTGCGGTTTTGCTGCGGTAAAATTGACTTTTTGTTCGCACATTTCTCATATTGTCACGCGGCTGGGTGTTAACAAAAACTATAATTAATTATTGAAATTAATGTGAAGTCGTTGAGAAAGGTGCGGGAGTGAAATTTTCGTCGATGATTGCGTAAACTTGAGAAAACCCAGAAAAGTGTGTTAGTTTCGAGAGTCGTTATTTTCTTTTAAGTAAATGAAAGGCGCGAAGACAACTCGAACTCAATATGAAAGGAGCAAGAGCAAGAGCAACAAACGCTCGGAAAAGTCGGCCAAGTAAGCAAAATTCGAAAATGTTTCTAAGTTTTTTCCTTATATGTATTTCCTATTCCCAATGTTTCGCGAAATGCACTTTAACTTCGGGCACGGACATCTGGCCCTCGAAAATTATTAAAAGTCATTAAAATTTTTTCTAATATCCGTACACTTTAGCGGTCGTAGAATAAACAATATTCGCTTATGGCCAGCCGAACTAAAAATAATTTCAGATTGTTTATTATCGGTTCGTGTACATTGTCCAATTTGATTTTACACTACAAAGTTGTATACAAAGCTCGCTGAAATAGTTTACTCATGCAGATCTTTATACAATCTGTGTATTTTTCTTACTGTCTGTGTATAGTGGCTCCTGTGTGTAGACATCAATAAAACTGCCATATTTTTCTTTGCTATCGATCATCAGTTTATCGATTTTATTGTTTGGTATATTTAGAGGCAAACGTGACGCTACCAAGCTTTTTTTGTGTATATTGGAAGTTTTTGAAATAGAATAAAGAAACGAGGGCTGGATTGTTTATGAGAACCAGCTGATTTGAAATTTTTAGTCAGAACAAATTTTTACTAAACTTCATAAATTGCCATATTTTTAGAACTCTCTGATCAAAAGTCAACACAGAGATATTTATTTTTTTAACAAAAAACACAACTTTTGGTGCTAAGGGTCGGCAAGTATTTTTTGCATTCGGGGACCGTTATCATTGCATGCAATATTTTTTTAAATAATCGATATTTGTTGACAAAACAGCTTATTAATTTAAAAATAAATATTTTTTTGTGTGAGTTGATAGAAATTGATCGAATAAGCATACACAGCTTTATAACTAGTCTTTACCATGTCCTAAATCCCTTAACAAGTAAGGGGTAAAAAATGTATTAAAAATATGTTCTTAATGGAATTATGACAACATGTCCTCCTAGGTTCAGTAACGTAGTACATAACGCGTAAAAAAGTTTAGCAAAATAATTTTTGCAAGTTTTTGATTTTGTATATAATTCTAATTGGTAGCAAATAGTTGGTAGAAAACAAGTTTGACAAGTCAAAAGTTTAAAATTGATAAACTGAGTAACTTGCTTCTAGGAGTCGCGGCACTGAACTATAGCGTTCCTTTTTGTTTTTGTAGAGCTTGTCCTATTTTTTTTTTTGGAGCATAGCCAAAAAATATATATGGCTTCAGCAGTTTTTTGCATAAAATAGATGCTTACCTATGGACAAATTTTATTTTTAATTAAAGATAACTTTATATTCTGTTAGAATAAAAATAATATTAAAAATTAAAAAGCCAATTAAAGTACAAATTCAGCAAAATTCACTTTCGTTCACCTGATTGAGACGGCTTTACAAAACTGATAGGGCAACACTAAAAAATTTAATTCCAACAGAAAATAGTGTAAAGAGAATAACTGATAACAGTCGGATCAGCGAACGTACTGTTTTATCACAAGTGAGAAGCCATATTTGGCTTTGTATGTGGCAGAGGGTTAATCACTGTCTTGTTGTTTGTTTTAAATTAAAACCACTAAAACCACCGTGCTGTTAACCTTTGTTTGATATATAATAACCCTTGCTAGGGTATTGAAATTGTTTTGATTTATTTAAAGTGTCAATGGCAAAAGTGTATTCCTGAATAGCCCAGATTCGAACGATGTCAAAACATTTTCAAATCTTCAATATATTTCGTTCAAATTATTTGTTTATCAATTAATGTATTGGCAAGCTTAAGCGAATTAATAAGGGGCAGGCTATATATCATTAGCGCCTAAAAGACTGCCACACATTTATGGATTGTTTTAAAAGATCTGACATTCAATTACTATTTAATGCTCTCTCGAAATTCTTTTGAAACATTGTTCAAAAAAAGTATTTAAAAAAAACCTTTTAATCAAATAAAATAAATGACTCTTGTCTACGATTATCGTAGCGGCCAAATATTTGAAGACAAAAACTTTTGACGCCTTATAAATATGGGACGATGTTTTCTCATTTACGCATTCCACAAGTCATATGGGAGACAGTCGCCCAGACTGGATATGTACGTTTAAATATATGTACGCATATGTGTTCATAAATATTTGTTTATGCAAGCATATGCGATGGCTCTAAGAGCTGAGGTCTCTTGAGCGATCGGCAGTTTGTCAAAAATTCTCAACGCAGACAGGAGTGTCAAATCGCTTGGTATAAAGCACGTAAGTTATGGAAAATCTGCGAAGAATCCCATTTTTATGGATCATTTGGGATTTGAATAGATCTTTTAAAATGCCTAATTTGATTTGCAGAGAAAGGGAAGTGCGCTGAAAAGTCATTGGAAACTTTGGAATACTCTTTTGAAAGATCCCCATTCATATTTATTTTCTTAACAAATTCTGGTAAATTTTTCCCTTCATTTTTTACGTATGCCAACAGCCGTTGATTGGATAAAATAATTTATTTATGCTTCGTTGTTGTAATTTATAGCTCTGCTGTGCTTATTTTCCTCTTCCTTGGTGTTGTTTCCTTAGCACCACCTTCAAGCACACCAAATCGGTGATATATTTATATTTATTTTTTCTACAACGCTGCTTTTTATTATTATTTATTTATACGTGCCGAGTGTTGAAAGGCCGCAGCCATATAGTCGAAGAGAACGTCTAACAATTGGTACCAATGCTGGACCTATCCGGTTCAGTTGACTTACAGCATTCGTTGAAGAACGACCCGCATATTTTGGGATTTAGATATTTTTGATAAGTGAAGTTGGAAAAGAGTTTGGAATGTTGATTGGCTGCCGTTCGCCATGGCAACCGCTTGGCAATCGAAGGCAAATTATTAGTTTAAGTTGTATAATAACCAATGCTTCTTAAACAAAATAACTAAATTGAATTGGATACTTTCAGATTGGACAGAAAGTCATCGCGTGGCATGATATACGAAAATGAGGAGCTCAGGCTGCGCACCATTAACATTAATGCAGAAGTGGAACGAGGTACGTCAAAAAGTGATAATAGCTGATCAAAAACTGGCCCAGTAATGCGCCATAAAATTATATGTTCCACAACAAACAGGAAATCAAATAATCGTTAAATAAATGCCACAAAAAACAACCTGAAAACAGCCAATTAAAAAGACATTAGATGGTGGCTAAGGAAACCAAAATAATCCAACAGAAAATTTAGCTAAAGAAATATCTCTACACGCACCTACTCGTACATAAATATCTGCCCACCTCTTCAGATATATCTGTCGGAATATTCATTAAAAATGTTTTCATTGCCACAACAGAAGATAAGCGAATGTAAACAATGCGATTTGAGGTGTCTAAAGGTCTGACAGCTCTGCGTGATGTCCACGTGCTGCTCTTTAGACTCAGCCAAATCTTATTAAAAGTTTTCATCCTTAACTTTACCCTGTTATTCTCTAGTGTGGAAAACTAAAATTATATCCATTTTGCAGGGCAATCGGACATCAAACGCCTGCGGCGGGAAAATGAGCATTTGCGTCGGGAAATCTGGACTTTGCGGGACGAGTGTGACAGGCTTAACAAACGCTTCAAGGCGAAGCTCAGCGAACACGAGTTCGGTGGGTGCAGGGGCAGCGGGGGTAGTGGCGGCACCTGCCACGCCTACCGCTGCAGCGGCGGAGGCGGTGGGCGCGGGAGCGGCGGTTGTGATGTAAACAGTGATGTAAGTGGTGTTAGTCAATGTAAATAATTTCAGTTTCTCAGCTCAAAATTGATCTTATATCTAAGCAGTTTCTCAAACTTCAAGCAACATCCATCGAAATTATACAGAAAACCCGAATGCGGTCTACAATTTTTTATTATTTATTATATTTATAAACTTAAAATCATTTAAAAGTAGTCAAAAATAATAGTATACATTTTAATAAAGACTTAATGACAATCTCATTGACCTCTCTGCCAAGTAAAAAGTCAAAGTCATTTTTTTTTAATACCATCGCAATAGAAATTAGACAGTTTTTTATCCAACCTCATTTCTACAATTGTAAATAATTGTTTTGTTTAAATCCATTATCGAAATTAGAAATCTAAGATTTTCAAGCTTAGCCCAGGCTAGAATATATTGGGGTATTTCAAAAATCTCTTCCAACTCAATACGAATGCAAACTAAAAATTAAATCATAAAATTAAATAAATTAACGGCGTAGCATAGACATTTATTTTTTTATTTTTTATCGTTTTTAAGCTTGAGGGAAAGTAAAAATCATTGTCATAGTATTTTTCTTTGACCTTTTTTAAAGCCCCCATATTATTATTCACTTGACAGGACTCTGACTCATGTGATACGTGTCGCGGGGCAGACGACGGCCACTGCAGCGACGAGTGCTGCCAGGAGGGAGGATCCTGTGCGCCGCTTAAGCCCCCACTTCCGCCGGAAGTGCCCAGCCACCCGTCTCCATCGAAGAACGAGGAGGGTGGCAGCCAGAACAAGGAGCAGCAGCCCATGCACTTCGATCACCTGTCGGTTGTCTCCGAGGAGACGCTGAGCAATCCGGAGCTGATGCTCGCCCAGCAGCAGGAGCACCTCACGATCTGCCCGCCAGACCCCAACGGATCGCAGAGCACGCTGCCCAGCATGATGGGACCGATCACCCCGCTCACGCCCATCGAACTGGTGGCCAACCAGCTGAACGACCTGCAGGCCATGGTGCCACCATTGTCCTACTTCGAGAACATCTTGTCGCAGCATATGGGCGCACGCAACGCGGGTAAGTTTTTCTTTTAAATTAAGTTTGTATCACTTTTCGTTGAATATTTTTATCTTAAATTATCTAAAATTAAATATAACATTTAAGAGTCAAAAGAAGATTTGGTACTGTGCAGAAAATTTTGAGTAAAAAAGAAATAATGGTTGCTTAGACTTTCTGATTATAAACAGATAAACAGTTATTAACTTTAAGTGATGACTTGATAACTAAATGAGCGAGAAATTCTATTTATCAATATCAATCGGATCACCATTTTTCAAAATGAACTGTTTTTTTTTTTTGCTATCAAAGTCTGGGGTACTGCTCGTTGTTTTAATGGGGAATGGTTATTTTGAAAAGCTAATAATATCGTTTTTTTTATGTTTGCATTACAAACATCTCATTTGCGGTCAGGAAGAGTATATAAAGAAACGAAGCCTTTTGATGATCGATTAATCATTGTATTTTTAAATGGATTATGTACATTTTTTTTATGTTACTAAATACCTTATGTATTAACTTTATTTAAGCCCTAGACTTACTTTGTTTTCATTTATTTGGTAAAAGATTTTTGTATACCAAAGGAAACTCATTAACTGAAATATTTGCAGCCCAAACGCCCTCTCCGGAGTTGGGCACCAGTTCGAGCACCACCACCGGCCAGACGATGCGCCACACGAATGGCTGGGACTACAACCTGCAGTCGCCCTTCACGCAGCGCAAGTACTCCGATCTGTCGTCGCCGTCCCGCTCGCCGCCGCCACCTGTGAACACGATGACCACCTTCGTGCCCACGTCCACCCTGCAGACGATGCCCAAGATCGCCCTGAATGCGCCACCGCATCAGCCGGATGGTGGCGACATCGAAACAGTGGCCATCACCACGAATGCCACGCAACATGCGCTCAACAGTCCCAAGCACTTCTTTGCGCCGATCAAGCCGCGTTTGAAGCTCAACACCAAGTTGGCCAATCAGGGCCAGGACCTGGAGCAGGACGACCTTCCGCCGGGCTCTCCGCCGCCACCGCTGCGAGATCCCCCGGATATTTTCGTGAACAACGCCCTGGCCTCGCCCTATCAGCGACGGGTGTCCCCACAAGTAAGTCCTCGTCACCGGCGCTCCCCCGCTCACTCGCATTGCCACGCCCACAGCCACCAGCGCAACCGTCAACGTCCACAGCCCGCCCATTGCTCTCTGCACCGGGCGGTGGTGGACGTGGCGGCTGCCGTTGGTCTGGGGGAAGTGGGTCCGCATCCGGGCTCCAGTGTCCTGGACATATACACCGCCGCTCTGGCGGCAGCCGCTGCCGCCCGTTGCTCTCCGCTTCCAACGGCCAGATGCCCGGATCCCATCTATGCCACAGCACAAAAGCCCGGCCAGAGCACGTGCATCTCGGCCACGGCCTTTACACAGCCGGTGATGACCATCACCACCCATTCCACAAAGACCACCACTTCGCCACTGAGATTGGCCCACAAGGCGAGGGCCGTTGGCGTGGTCAAGAGGGTGGCCAAGTCCGCCGAGAACGTCAGTCAGGTGAGGGATCCTCTGGCCAACAGACGATCATCCTCGTGTCATAGTCATTCCACTCAAGTCTTCCGACTAGCCCATGTCGATGTGTTTTTAGTTCCTTAAACCCGTTCCCGTTCATGTTTTTGTGTATACATTGTATAGGTATATAGATGATTTAAATTGTTTAATTAATTAAGTGTTACACATGTTAGTACATTCTTTTCTCACGTTTTATTAAACTAGTTTTTAAATTTTACCGATGGTGCATTAGTAGGAAAACTTATCTGCAAAATGCTTATCCGTCAATATTTTTGAAAATAATTAATGGTTTTTGTATTGATATATTCTGTAAAAATATTTGTTGTTTAAGTCTTGCTTTTCATATTACCATCTCTAAAAGTGTTAAATTATGTGAAATTTAGTGACATTTCAACTCAATAACACATTTCCTTACCCGACCCATAAATGTAATATATGATCTCATGAAGTTCAGTAAAATAAGATTATTATTTTTATGAAACCTCATCTGTAAATTAAAAATTTTCAAGTTTTTTTCGTAGGAAAGATGACATTTCGATTCAGTACCCAAAACATTTATTTTGTATGGCTTATGACAATTTTAAATTAAAATATTTAATTCAAATTTTGACTAAAATTAAATTTAGCTTTCATATAGTTTTTATTTACTACCCAGAGAAAAATCATAAATTATTAAGCGTTAGCTCCTACTACTACAAATATATAGTACTATGGAAATATCTCCCAATCCAATTTTAAACGATTCTCTAGTCTTAAAAATAATTATTTCAATTGTTTTAATAATACAATTAAATTTGTAAGTGATAAATGTTTAGATTTGCAATTCTTTAAGCAATCACACCTCCCTCTCCACCTATAAACTTTACTTCTTTTTTCCACACAAGATTACAGTGCATTGCAATGCTTACGCTTAGCTATAACAACTAATGGAATATTTTAAACCAATGTTTTAAATTTCCCACAGACGGATTCCGTGAACTTGGAGTCGATCCTCAACGACATCGAGACCATTTCGGAGGACATACTGGCCATTCAGCTGGAGAAGAGCAAGTCGCGCGACAACCTAAGCCACAATCACAACAACAAGGACGATGATCGGGCGAAGAAACCCTATCGCTCCGAGATGAATCTGTATCTGCAGTACGACGGCACAAATCCGACCATTTCGCCCGCCACAACGGCAACGGAAATCGGAACGTCTGCTCCGGCGGTGACCACGTCCAGTGAGTCGGGAAATAGTGGGAGTGGTAAATTAATGCGACGCACCCGATCCCTGGAGAGGGAGCACACCGACAGTCCTGCCCCGCACATTCCGGACCCCATGGCTCCGTTTCCCGACAAGTGCACCTATCTGGGATTCGAGCAGATGAACCAGGCAGCAGCAGGGGCGGGGGTGCCTCCTCAATCACCAAATGGCCAGAGGCCGCCCATCGCAGCCAAGCCGAACGTACCACTTAAGCCACCGCCCCCGCTGCCACCTGCCCGCAGGCCAGCCATGCCCACAGAACCACCGCCCCCGCCTCCAGCCACTTCCGCTTCCGGCGTAGTCGGCCTGCCGCCCAACAAGAGCCACCTGTACAAGTCACTCGCCTCGGCGGCGGCCAAAAGGGCCATCTTCCGCTCCTCGCCATCGCAGCTAACCAGATCCTTGGACGTGGACCTCACGGGAGCAGAGGGGGAGGCGGGCATTGAACAGACAGCTGCTGGAAATGTGAGTAACGAAAATAACAAATAAATAAATTCCGTGGAAAGTCCTTTTAAAATTTAACCAAATTAAAAGTGAAACTTGAGAGTCACAAAAACCAACAGCACAAATAAGACACAAAAAGAAAATGTTTTTTCTTCTTAAATGTAATGTACAAATGGGTTTTTACTTTAATTAACCTGTTATTGGCAAATACGTATTTTTTCTTTCGAATACGATACACTTTATATTTTTTGTTTGAGCTCTATCTTAAATCAACAATTCCAAAAAATTGTTCGTGGAATTTAATGCATATTTAATGCGTTAAAATTATCGACTAACTGACTTAACATTTTTCGTCTACTCTTTTGACAATGTTGCATAGTATAAGAGAAAATTGAAAAAAAAATTTTTAACAAGTTTTTTTATTAGCAGATTTCGTGGCTGCTTATTAAAGTAGTAAAGCCTTGTTTAAAGTTTAAAAATATAAATCAAAACAATTGACGATTTTATCCTCATTAAAAAAAAATGTAAAAAAATGTCGCTGAAGAGAACGACAGCTTGTCCTTGACAATAAGTTATAAACAAATTAATACTCACAAATTATAAAAGTATAAAAAAATAAAAAAAAAATGAAAAAGACAATAAGAGGTATAAAATATTTTATATTAGTTTTCGAATTTCACCAATTTAATTGTTTTGTATTGTTTAAATCAAATTTAAAGAACAATAGTGAAATTATTTATTGTTTGTGTATAAAACTGACCCCTTACAATTCTTCCAGATGGACGAGTTGGCGCGGCGAAAGGCGCGACGCGTGTCCATTGTGTGTGGATCCGGACAGGGTGCCCAGCAGGATGAGGTGGCCGTGCCCGTGACCACCGTGCCCATGTCTACCGCAAGTTGCGTGGACCTGAGCACCGTGCTCGCCCACCCGAGCGTGAAGGCCTTTAAGATGAGTCACAGCACGCCTAGTTCGCCGCATTCCTCGCGTCGTCGCACCAACAGCAACTCGATGGCTCCGCCTCCGGCAGTGCCGGCGGGTGGTGGTCACCCCGAGGTCGGGGCCACTTCGTCGGCACCGCCCAGCACCTCCCACCATTACCACCATCGCAAGGAGGGCAGTGATCCGGTTCCCATGACGGCCACTGTTAGCCGCACCAAGTGCTCCAGGCGGCATTCCGAGGGCACCGTTCACACCGTCCACCGGAACAGCGCAGCCAGCGGCGGCGGAGGAGGAGGAGGAGGCGGTGGCCACCACCATCACCACAGCCACCACCATCCGCACAGCGGGATGGTGATCAGCAGCAACCCGCACCACAGCCACCATTCCCACCAGGACAGCAACCACGAGACGGTCACCTCGCTGTCCGATCGCAACTCTAATAGTTTCGCCTCCTCGCGCGAATCCTCCACGAGCTTTAGCATGCGCTCCAATCGCCGGAAGATTTCGGTCAGCTCGCACACGGGCGGCAAGATTCCGTGGTGCGGCTGCTGGGGCAACGGGTGCCTGTAGATCGGGGGAGGGGGAGGGTAAACTCATCTACCGTCCAGGAAGAAACTCAGTGTAATTCACTTAGCTGGCTGTTTTAAGTTCTCCATAATTTTCAGTTGCATGAAATTTACAATTAAAAAACTAAGTTCGAACAGTCATGTTCGAAATTTATATGTACGATTTTTAATTTCTCAAATAAAGCTGATAAATGCAGTCAAAGAGATTAAGAGGTCTCTGAAAAGTTATAAAATAAATCCATCAAATTGTATAAGTCACTATAAGCAAAGATGGCAACATAGATGGCAACTTTCTTAACAGAAATAAATAAAAACACTGCTGTAAGCCGTGCTTTTTTTATCATCGTAATTCTGTTCAAATTTTTAAAATTATTTATTGATTGTATCCCCTATTTGGAATACGTTAGAGTCCATTTGAAAAGTAAATAATTTCGTTATTTTCCACGTCTAGATTTTATTTTGGGCCATTTGCAAAACTATTTTGTAAAGCGCTTTTATGTTAAAAAGTTGTCTCAAGCCAAAAACTTAAAAGTTAAAAAACGGTTTATATCATTTCAAGCATAATCCACTCAGATTTTGTTTTCGATTAAGGTCAATATTGACTGCAGCTAAGTGAAATTACACTGTATTCCATTATTGAGTGTACATTTCTAGATCCTCAACTATCCAATTTATGTGTTTGTATATGGCTTACAAATTGTTAAAAGAAAAACAGCAAAGCAATTTGTTTCTAGAAACCAGGTACAAAAACAGTTTTAAAAAGTTTAAAATTTAACCAACTTAATCCGATATTAATCCTGAACTTTGTTGTACATATTCTTATAGAAACGATTAAGTTGTAGAATTTAAATGTTGGTCTCGAAAACTAAGTCATGTAAATGGTATAATCAAACCTATGTTTTTATAATTGTTGCTTAATTGGGAATGAACAGAAATCAGAAATATAAAATAGAAAATTATTTATGGTATTTACTAGACCTGATTGAATGATAATAAAGCAAACTATCTAGAACTAAAACCATAAAAAACATTGAAAAAGCTTTATTATTACTGCTTCTTGATAGTAGATAAATATAAGATAAGAACCTAGTTATATTTGCTTACTTATCGCTTTATCAGGTCTTATTTTACTCTGTTTGTTTTAATTATTTCGCGATGTAACAAGATAAGTTGGTTCTAATCGGCTCTGCCTCTAAATTTCAATTCCCCTTGTCAGAACTTTTTCTGCAAAATTTCATTTCACGCTTGCTAGCCTCTCTAAAGTTTCACTCACCGCGCGGAACCGCTGACTTTAAAAGGATAAGAGGACACGCCGGGCAGGAAACGACGGTTGCAACTGCAACTGAAATTGCGCAACAAGCGAAAATATACAATATGCAAATTAGCCGCAAATTAAGGTGTAAAAATGCATGACACACAAAACGCCTCTAGGATATATGCAGGAAACAAATTAAATTTTCTCCATGTACCAGTGCAAATTGCGGTTGCAGTGCAAAGCGTGAAGGTGATGGGATCGCCGTGAAAAAATAAAAATAAAAGACCCAGGTCAGAGGCAACCGCAGTGCGCCAGAAAAAAATATAACCTAGCCGAGGGCCACAGCGCAGTTTATTGTATTCCCCCACACATTCCGTGTCTGGAGGACACTGGACTTCATCACTGGCCAGCTGCCAATCAATTGTGCGGCACTTGAATTCGTTTTAGAAATAACAGAGCTTATGGCATCTTCGTTTAATTGATTGGCTGCCAAGTTTTGCCAGATTGCCACGAGTTTTATTTTATTGCAATGTGTTTGTCTTGGCCATTAACTGCTGCCAGATGCAGTCCAATCCCTTTCTTTGTCTCTCAAAAGACATGAGAAATCAATTTGTAATCATTATGAGTTGGTTTATTGCCAATGAAAAATCATATGGTAACCTATGAAGCCAATCAATCCTTAAGTGCTGCACATAAACTCTTAGATTGCGTGTAATGATCCAAACAAACAAAAAAAAGATTAACGCAAAAGACAAAAAAAAAAAATAGAAAAAAATGTACATGCCCCGGGTGAGGCTCGAACTCACGACCTTAAGATTATGAGACTTACGCGCTGCCAACTGCGCCACCGAGGCCTCGATAAATTAGGTGCCAATAATGAAATAATGCGGGCACACTAATTGTATACTGATCTAAATTGGTTGATCTAAATCTGGAGAATGCTTATCGCATAGAACGCAGAGATAATAAAACACGTTTTCCATTAAACTTTGTTATTTAAATATATATAAATTCTTATTTTGTTAATATACAGAATGAAAATTCAATTTTTCAATCTTTTTTGAATTTCATCACACAAATTATTTATCCAACCAAACTATGTTGTATGGAAAACACATCTAACAAAAATTACTTCGAACAATGTGGAATAATTTAAATGTTTAATACTGCCAATCCACAACACACAAAAACCAATTATGATCCCATATGTCCTCCGGCTTGATTCGTTTATTAAATTTGTATTTGTGTTGGCGTTAATGAGGAAACTTCTTTCTCCCCAAACCATTAAAAGAGGTAAATTTCGGGTACAAACCGACTCAGAGTGACAGGTATCCCAGTTTTTCACTTTTGGTTTATGCGCTCAACATACGCGCGTATACTTATTTTATGGCACTTGTTTAGTTTCTGTTGTGTGGTACCGTGGCTTGGCGCCTTCAATGAGCTGTGTCTGCACATAATTCTCAATCATTCAGAGTTTTCAGACAATACCGTTCTCTGCCAAATGCAGACATATATACGAGTTTTTATGACGCCTGTTTCTTGCTGTTGTTGTGGAGGCAATGTCTACTGCTTTTATTACCATAAATTCTGTCGTTTTTCTGTCATAACCCCCAAACCCACGCGTTTCTCTTTTACGAGAGCATTTCATTGTTTTAGCCGCCGAGCTATGACGTATTAACAATTTGTCAAGCGAAATTTAGCAGCAGCAGGATAAAAATCAATGCATGGTAACTAATTACTTGCTGGGTAAGGATGTCTTTCTTACTCAGCTGCATTTACGGTACGCTGAAAAATAACGATGAAGGCATTGGCTTAAGAACATCTATTAAATGTGTGTATTTTTGTCCTTTTTTAATTATTGGCTACTGTTTTATTGACCTTCTTAATTTAAAGGATAAATTTAAATTTTTTTTTAGGAATTATTAAAATTATATATTTAATTGAATTTTAACGAATTTAACTAATTTTTAATAACATTTAATTTAATTTTTTTATAATAATTAAATTAAACTTCATAACTAAAGAAAAACTATTTATAATATTCCATAAAAATTACCCCTATTTAAGAGGGATTTCTTTTAAGTTCTATTTGTATTGTTTATTTGTAATTAATTTTGACTTATAAGCCCTTGAAAAACTATTTATGATTTTCTATACATATTAATCCTTTTCAAGTGCCCATTTTATCACAGTGCATTTGCTGATTACTCTGCGGCGGCAGTTGTGCCACGCCCCCAACTGATGTCGCCCGATCCAGCTGGCGTTGCTTTGTTTGCCAGCATTAACTGAGTGGACATCCCATCCAGTGGGCATCCACAGATGTCCTAGCTCTAGGGAGCTGCTAAAAATTGCAACTAGCAACTGATGATGTCCCAGGCGATGCCCCTACCATTCCCACATGAGCAGCAGGGCAGCAGCTGCTGGTGCAGCACTTTTTCCTCTTTGAGCCAAACACTCACTTTGATCATTTTTCATTTTCCAAAGCGACACATGAGCTCTCCCAACCCATCTAGCCGGTTGTCTGCAGCTGGATTCCAGGATTCCTGGATGTGTGCGGGTGTGGGCGCGGGTGCACGGGTGACAGCGTCGGACTTGCGTGATATTTTTATTAAGAAATATATCAAATGCACATAATGCACACATTCCCAGCTGCCATATATAAACCGCCAGAGACTTGCTAGCTAGCCAAATGACACTTTATTATTATTTTCATTGTTATGCGGGATTCTATTAAATTAAGCCTTAAAAGCGATGATTGAGCAGCGCACATTATTTGGCGCCGCCACCTCTTTGCCAGCCGAAATTCGAATTTCAGTACTCAAATTGCAAATTTATTCATACGTGTCGCGGTTCGCGGTTCATGTCAAGCGTTAAGTTAAGTTAAGTGACCTTTCGAATGCCTAACAAGCCTGGTTCCTCGTTCCGCTTGAACCTTTGTTGTTCACTGAATTTGCATAATCGCGTGAAGCGTATTTGTAAAATAAAAACGAAGTAACGTACATACAGAAAATGTCAGGAATCACACATGATGTCGGGTACTTCGTGGAAGTCCTGGGTCAATGCGCAGAATTCGTGTACTAAGCCATAGGCAGACACTCAAACAAGGGTTTTAGCACTGACTTACAAAATAAATTTAAGCTTAAATTTAAAGAATCTGCCGAATTTTTTTTTTTTAGTTCTAGAAAATGTCTTTTTCTTTTATATTACATAGCATTTATGTATATTTTATATTTTTATTTATATACCCAGTGTTAAGGTTTTTAATATAACTTTAAGCGTTGCATTAAGTTTAAAAATCGGTAAAGTCAAACTGGTTGTTTCCAAAAATATGTGCTGTTTTCGTTATTTAATGTTTTGTGCTCAGTAAAAAAGTTATGTGTCTTAAAACATTTATTTTACGGATATATTATTTCAAGTGCAGTCATACAGCTTTGGAGGCGGCGGAGCAGGTTAAGAGTGCTTCTGAATAATTTGCATTTAACATGCGCGACATGAAAGCCAAATAAACAATGCTTTCAACTCCTCCCCACTAAGCCGAGGGGCAATTTGTCAGCTGCTAACTGGTCGCCAGAAAGCGCGCCTGTTTCCTTCTGTTGATTTGTTGCACTCGTTTTTCATTTGACTAAATGCTGCAAATGATGCGATTCGGTATGTGAAATGCGCACGCTTCCTGTCCGTCCAGTGAACCCCCTGCGTATGCTTAATCTGTCCAAGCTGGAATATCTTTCGCCTGGCTGTTAGTTATGAGTTATGGCCAGTGCAGGCGGGACATATAAAAACAAAATTAACATAATTTAGTTGCCAACAGGACAGGCTGTCCGGTCTTTCCAAAGCAAATAAATTGTAAAACTTTTGCGGAGTAGAAAATGTATTGATAAGGCCACTGCTCAGAGTCAATAAGGCGAGCGGAAAACTTTTCCCATTCAACCCATGATCATCAATTCTTGTATATACACTCCTCCTTACTACACACATGTGCTTGGACAGCGGGAGTTAAGCATAAATTTGATGATTTAATGAAAGTGCTAAAACCTTGAACAAAAACAGCTAACGTTGACATATGAATGGCTGGTTTCTGAAAAAGAAAAATTGATTTTTTAAGTTAAATAAAATAATTTGTCTAAGTATCATAAAATAGTTATAGTTTTAATTTATTTAAATGTTGCTTGCTTTGTTTTTTAGAAAGTGTTTTGCTTCTTATTTGTTGCAAAATTATTAGTTAATTTTTAATTTAGTTGATTTTTGTTTTATAAATTTCTATTATAAACTATTGCTCTGCTCGCAACTGTATAATCATAACACAGAAACAAGGACATGCAATATCAATAAACCGAACGGCAGACTTCTTCTTATGATTTATTGTGTTTGGTCAGCGGACGTGGCCCGAGCAATTTCACCTTGACTGCCATCATTCTCGTGCTCCATTAAATCTTTGGCGACACATTCAATGAGCACCATAACGTGTGCCCTAATACCTTGCCTGTCGCCTCCTTCTGCCACCCCCACCATTATAGCCTTTGTTTATAAATGTTCTAATGGAGGGCAAATTATTATTTTTCCTTTTTGGTGTTTGTGCATGTCGAAGCTGCTTCCTTGACGCTGTTCGAGTGATAAATTGATTGGACTACGTACACACAGGCCAGTGGAGTCCTTCTGGCCAACATTCATATCGGCGGTCAGGCGTAGTAAACCCGCTGTCAACCC